TGTCTTGGCACACACTAATTTAAACATGGAATGATTAATCTAGATGACAAATCTATATGACTCAGGTGTAATTGCTATTAATTGGGGCCATCAGCTGGTAGCCCAGAAGCAGTGGCTACATAAGGAAAGGAGAAAATCTGACTCTTTTAGAAAGTTGTGAAATAATTCCATGTTCTCATCCCGTTGTATTGCCATAGCCCAACTGGACAGTGTTTTAATACATTGATGTTCTGTATATTGCTACTTTTTTTTTTTAAAAAAATAAGGTTTTATTTCTGGTGGACATCTCTTGCATCAAGGAAGAGGTATATATTTATTTAAAGGTCAGCATGTGGGCTCTGATGTTAGACTGTTGCCCCAGTCTTTCTTCTTCTGGACACTAGAGTTTTCAAGCTAGGAGGAAAAAACAAAACAAAACAGCAACCTCAGCTTTGGAGGAAAATTTAAACGAGATAATACAGGATAAGCAATTAGCAAGGAACCTGAAACTCAATGAGAAAAGTTACCGTTAACATTTATGGAGCCGGAACTTTATATTTTTATTTACTTGCCATTGATTGTCTTTCTTATAACACTGAGTCTGTCCTGTTTTCGCTATAAAATGTCATGTAATCTAGATGGACAGTTGACTGCCCCCTGTCATCTTGCATGCTTTTTTTTTTTCCTTTTTATACCTAACTGCTCTCCTTTGCTGTGCTAAGAAATGACGAGAGTGAAACATCCTTCTTCTGGACCTTTAAGAGGCATGCAGCCTTGCACTCTGGTGTGACACCAGCTGCGGTTTGGCATTTCTGGCCCTCTTTCTGTCGAGATACATTCCTTCTTTACCTAATTTGTCGATGGTTATTATCATTGAAGGGTGTGGAATTTTCAAAATGCTTTTATACATCTATCAAAGTGATATGATTTTTATCATTTATTCTCAGAATGTAGTGGATCACATTGATTAATACTTGATCCTCTTTGCACTTGAGAGGTAACTCTTACCTGGTCATGTTGAGTAATTTATTCAAAATCCTGCTAAATTTGGTTTTTTAGTGTTTTTGAGGGTTTTTTTGCATCCATTTTTATGAAATATGTTGGCCTGTAATTTTCTTTTCTTGTAGATGTCTGACCTGACATTGGTAAGAGGCTAATGCTGGCTTTACAAAATGTGTTTGTAATGTTGTTTCTGCTTCACTTCTTTTAAGAGGCTAAAAAACCATTGACATTGAATTCAGTAAAGTCGGCAGATGGAAAATTTTTAAAAGAATGAATTGTAAAAAAATGACTTGCATTTTCATAGAGTGATAAAGAATTTTGAAAAGATCCTGTTTATGATCATGTGATAAAAACAAAATGCTTAGAAAAAATAATTTAACCAGGGAGGCAAAAGATCCATGTGCTGAAAGCTCTCTGATGCTGCAGAAGGAAATCACACAACATAAAAATGAATATTGTTGTTAAGTGTCCCAAATGACCTGCAGATTCCTATCAAAAACTAAGTAGCATTTTCACAGATACGGAAAATAGCCCTAAAAGTTATGTGAAGTCACAAAGAGCACAAATAGATCAAGAGTTTGTCAGAAGAAGGGAAGGCTAGAGACATCATACATCCTAATTCACGTACTCAGAGCTACAGTAATCGCACGATAGCATAGGTGTGCTATAAAAGCAGACAAACAGAACAATGGAACAAGGTAGAAAGCCAGCGATAAACTTACATATGTGTGATCAAGGCTCTGGATATACTCACTATAGATTATGTCAAAAGTGGCTGGCTGCAAGTAAAAGATGGCTTTATTCCATACACAAGAATAACTCACAGTGTACCACAGACTACCATGACACCAGAAACTATGAAGCTGAGAAGTCAATGCAGGAAACCCTTGACACTAGCAATGGACTTTTAGGTATGGATACTAAAAACACAGGCAACAAAAGCAATTCAAACACGTGAACACCCGTCAAACCAAAATCCCTTAAAGGCAACAAAGAACAGAAGGAAAGGACAGCCCAGAGAATGTGAGAACTTGTTTCAGAACATATTTCTCTTTTTCTAAGATCTCCACCACCCCAGCCCCCATGGGTATGTGTGCACGTTAGCACAGGTGCCCCTGGAGGCTAGAAGCAGTCATCAATCTTCTGGAACTGGAGTTTCCTGTAGTTGCGAGCTGCCCTACGTGGGTGATGGGAACTGAGCAGCAGTCCTCTGAAAGAACAGTATGTGTGCTTTAACCGAGGAATCTCACCAGTCCCATGAATCACATTTCTGTAAAGGGGTTCACATCCAACCCATAAAGGGCTTGAAGAACTTGAAATCCCCAAACCAAAACCAGTGAGCGAAGGACCTGATATCTATTTTCTCAGAGAGAACAGAAATATCAAGCAGGCATCCAAGGGAGTGATTTACATCACTGTATTATCTTGCTCTTATTAGAATGACTGTTATCTAAACCACAGGGGGATATGAGGACACAGAGAAAGGGGAACACTCATGTATTGTTGACAGGAAAGTGAATTGGTACAGACAACCATGGAAAGCAATATAGAAGTTCCTCAGAAAATAAGATTACATATGCAGTAAACCTCCTGTTAGACATAATACACAGGACATAAAATTGGCCCTTCCTTTGTGTGTGGTGCCAGAGCTCCAACCCAGAGTGTTACACAGGTAAGCAGATGCTTTAAGCCACATTCTCATCCTCGAACTCACTACCTATAAGGCATATGTACCACCATTTTCACTGACGTAGCTGGGTGAGAACAACCCAGTAACTTCATTGCTGGGGAGAGAAGGAAAATGTGGGCTATGTTCACAGTAGACCAGTATTTGTTCACACAAAGAGATCCTGATATCTGTGAAAACATGCATGAACCAGGAGGGCTTTATGCTAAAGGAATAAGCTAGGAAACAAAGGGTTAAAGTTCCCATGGTCTCTTGTATATATAATTTTTTAGAAAGTAGAATTCCTGTTAGTACAGAGAAAAATTGTCATTTCCAGAGCTGGAGGGTTTGGTAGGATGGGAGATGAAACAGGTTGATCAAAGGGTGTGGATCTTCCGTTATAAGGTGCACAGGATTTGGGGATTAATGATCAATGATGAGTAACTATGGATGAGTTAATTTATTTGATTCTGGTAATCATCACACACTGGTGTAGGATGTGTTGCTTTCATTGGTTGAATAAAGAGATTGCCTTGGCCTTTTGATAGGGCAGAAACTTAGGTGGGCGAAGTAGACAGAACAGAATGCTGGGAAGAAGGGAAGTGTGGCAGATGCCATGAATCTCCAGCGTGAGACCGACATAGGTTAGAATCTCTCCTGGCAAGCCATGACCTTGTGGTGACATACAGATTATTAGAAATGGGTTGAATCAAGATGTGAGAGTTAGCCAATAAGAGGCTAGAGCTAATGGCCAGGCAGTAATTTAATTAATACAATTTCTGTGTGGTTATTTTAGGGCTTAAGCTAGCTGGACGGCGGAATGCAACAAAGGGCCCACACTTCTTACAACAACACACTGTTCACACATAGCAAACTGACATGTTTACCCTGTTTCCATTTATTAAAGTCTTTATTTAAAAACACAAAAGTAATCTATGGGTCCCACATCTCTGCAGCTCAGAAACTGTGGAAAACAATGATCATCCCAAGGGGGAGAATTGTAACATCTACTTGGAGGTGTTTTCTATGTAAATATTGCTGTTTCAACAAGAAAACAGGTCAGGCTTTCTTGACTCACCAATGCCTCAACTTCAGCTCAGTTCTGTAACAGCTAATTGGCTGAATTAACCTCTGCAATTCAGCCACCCTGTGAACCATCCTATAGAACAGAGATTTCCCTACTTCTGTTGGTGTTCAATTCCAGAATCTAGTATGCTACTTGTTATGGTTTTTGTCTCTTTAAGAGACAAGCCACACTCACTCCCGGCGACCCCTGCCCTCCTCCCACCATCTTAGATTCTCTCTGTCTCCTCTAGGTCCGCATGCATGTCTCTCTCTCAGGCCCTTCTTTGTGTCTCTCCTCCTCTTTTCTCTCTTCCCTTTCTCTCTCTCTTTCTCTTTTTTCTCACCTCTCCTTTAAGTAATAAATATTCAATTCTATTCTGTACGATGTGTCTGCCCATGTCCCTTCTTACTGTTGCCTACCCAGCCGCTTGCCTCTCTGGGACCAGCAACTGCTCTGGGGATCCGGCGTCTGTTTCTGCCTGGGACAAGCTGCTCTGAAGGACCGCCGGGGGATCTTGCAGCATTTTTAAAACTACTTATTTTCTGTTTTATTAACATAAAACACAGTATTATGGGCAAACTTCTGTGTGTGTGTGCAGATGGCAGGAGTTGGGGAATAGTGAGTTCACAGGTGAGATGAACATCCCGAAATAATCTCACATGGACTGTGAGGCAAGGCTGGGTCCTGACACTGTAGCTGATTTTCACTACATGACAAATTGTGACTCACCATTCATCTAGTTGCTGCAGTGGACTACAGGGATGGTATCCATGCAGGATGAAGTGTTTAAGTTTTAGTGTTCATAGCCTTGAATAACATTGAACAACACCTGCCTGCCACTGGAACCTGCAACCAAAGAGACTGTCTGTTACAGTATCTAGCCTTTCCTGGACCAAAGGACTGGCTCAAAGTTTCCCCTGAAGTTACTATATCCTTTTGCATCTTTGGCCAATTTTTTTATGCCTGCCTTTTTGGCAAAACCGAGGCTAAGAGAAATTATATGACAAATTTAAGGCCACAAAGCAAAGGAGAAAAGAACACATTGAGATTCAAATCAAGACAGGTGCCCACAAGGCATTGGCTCTTACCAATTCTATTACGTTTGGTAGCCAACTCCAAAACTGCATTTTCCAGAGTACATGGAGGTCCAACTGAACTCTTTAAACACACTTATGCAATGGTCCCAGAGCAGCGTTTGCGTGAGTGTGCTAACCTGTGTTCCGCTTTGCCACCCACACGTGGAGGAAGAAGGCATGTCACAAATACAATGCATCCTTTGTTTTCCAGCTTCCCTTGTGATTGAGAAGTGGTGGTGCCACATGAATCCCTGCTTGGAAGGAGAGGACTGCCGAGTCCTTCCGGACTCCTCGGGTTGGTCCTGTAGCAGTGGCAATAAAGTCAAAACCACTAAGGCAAGTACGAACAAAAGGTAACTGTAATTTATAGCTGTGGGAGCTGCTAACTCGGGGTTCCTGCTGTGCCTGGATCTTGCCAGCAAGAGAACAACATTGTTTTGTGTGGATAAACCTGCCAGGGCTGTGCTACACTGTGGCTTTTGCCTTTCAGGAAAGTCCATTTGCCAGTGTTGCTGCTGTGTGTTGGGGCAGTGATTTGGTGGGTGAACTCTTACTTTCAGCAGGGCCCCTAAATTCCCTTCTGCTCCTTCAGGGGCTCAATTTAAAGTAAAGGTTTCCGAGTTGACAGAGCGGTGTATCAAAGCGACATGGCAAGAATCCACGTCCAGATGATTTACTCAGATGGGAAAATATGCTGCCACTGAGATTGGAGACAGGCCAGGTGAGATTCTCACTCAAGTCTTCCACAGCTTCTCCCTAGTGGTTCCCCATTCTGAATTTCTTGCTCCTGAAGGAAAACACAAGTGCTTCAGTTCTTCAGCGAGAAAGCAAACTTCTTTGTCTTGTGCCCTCTCAATTACTTGGGTTTTAGAAATTTTTACTGCCAAATCCTTTCATGACTGCTTTCCTGTCTCCCACCTAATCCACCATCACGTCCAGTGACTAATGACTTCCTTCTGGCAGAAACTCCATTTATTGACTACAGCAAACAGTGTTTGTGAGATGTCAGCTCTCAACCAGGCCATCCTAAAACCTCTGAGCAGCTTCAGTCATCCCTTTGGTCCTTCAGAGACAATCATGCAAGACAGGTTCCCTTCTTTCTGCCCCAAACCTCCTGGCCTTCTGTTGGTCTCTGCCATGATGCCTTTGAGGTGGTCCTTCCTTCTCATATGATGTGATGTCTTCCCTTCCTTTCTAGTCAACTATTCTTCCGCTTCAGTGAATCTATCCTTGGTTGCATATGAGTTTGGTGACTGAGTGTCCACTAGGGTTACATTTTCCATGGATAGCTGTATTCCTTTGTTCCCTACATCACTTCCTATCTAGTGTGGGATCTGTGAAGTCAGGTCCTTGTCTGTGTTTGCCTATCTTGGTAGGCCCAGATCCAGCTGATGTCACCATAGCTGTTTCTTGAATACCAGTTAACGACAAGTCTTTCTGAGGTTACTGGAGTTAGACGGGTTGCAATGATGTCCATTTAAAGTTGTCTCCCATTAGAACATAACTTGTGCTTACTGGTAATGTGTGATTTCAGCAACATTTGTGTTGACAGGTGATGGAGGAAGGTCATTGGCTAATAAAGGCACTGCCCTGGCCCATTTTATTGGTTAGAGGATAGGTGGGAGGAGTAAACAGAACAGGACGCTGGGAGGAAGAGGAAGTGAGCTCAGTCTCGACAGCTCTCCTCTCTGGAGCAGACGCCTGGGAGAGACGCGATGCCCCGCTCACGGCATGAAGCTCCAACCCAGGATGGACTAGGCTAGAATCTTCCCGGTAAGACCGGTTCTCACAGATTATTAGAGATGGGTTGATCGGGATGTGAGAATTAGCCTGTAAGTGCTAGAGCTAAAGGGCCAAGCAGTGCTTAAAAGAATACAGTGTCTGTGTAATTATTTTGGGGCATAAGCTAGCTGGGCAGGCGGCTGGGGTGTGGGGGACGCAGCCCCGCCGCCGCCCCCACTACTTCAGTTGGCGCCCCATGTGATGGACTAAACCCACTTAAAAAACCTGAGAAGGCTTAAAAATAAGGGAGAGAGAGTTTAACACAGATTTTTGCTGTTTGTTGGTGGCGTGCTGTAGAGAGATTTCCTGATTCGGCAACAGTAGCAGAAAAAACGCTGTGTCATTTTAAAGCGCGACTTCCTGGGGCTATGCCGCCATTGCGATCTCTGTCTGGCTCCTGTGGGAGACAGAGCTTTTGAATAGAGCATAAATGGAGTAAAGTGCTAAGATTAGTTTGATGGCAACTAGACTCACTGTGTTCTCGGGTCTGCTCTGCTTGCTAGAGGCAAGCAAGCACCTCATCTAAGAGAGGCTTCCTGACTCAGCTTCAGCTGCAAAACCCTGCAGCTCATTAAGAGGTCCTGCCACGAAACACTTAAACGGTGTTGATGAAAAGCTGAACGCATGCTTTTCGGTTTTCAGCCGTAGCAGGAAAAAAGCTGCACCGTTTAAAAATGCCGGCTTTCTGGGCCATCCTGCCAGGGCAAACTCTGACTGTTTGAGGCAGGAGGGCCGACTACCGAGAGAGGACTTGAGTGTTGTCTGTTGTAGCTCACTTGCTGGCAGGGACCTTGAAATGCCGTACAGTTGTTGCAGTAAATATGGCTACAGCCAGTACCTCAGCCATGAGGCTGGAATGCTAAGGAATGGGCTGGATCCAGCCGGCAAAGCCACGCCTTTAATCCTACTGAGATTGCTTGGTAAATTAAAGGCTCTTGTGGTCAGAAAAAGAGAGATATACAGTAAAGAGAGATTCAAAGACAAAGAAAATTTTTAAATGGTTTACAGTGTGTTAAAAATATATGCAGACTAAAAGTTGAAGTTCTTAAAGTAAAAAATAAAAAAAGGAAGAGAGTTGTTGTGTGTGATAGCACACGCCTTTAATCCCAGTGCCTAGAAGGCAGAGACTAACAGATCTCTGTGAGTTCAAGGTGTAGTAGCAAACACCTTTAATCCTGAATGCCTGGGAGGCAGAGACAGGCGGATCTCTGAGAGTTCAAAGACAGCCTGGTCTACAGAGTTACTTCAGGTCAAAGATACAGAGAACCTGTCTCAAAAAGCAAAAAGTTAAAAGTAAAAATAAACGAAATAGAGGTTAAAACAAAGCTGTACAAAGATGGAAAATACACAGAGAATTTTGATACTGTATGCTATTATGCTCTCTTTGAATTGTTTGAATGCTGAGAAAGGAGCAACAGCTGCTAAAAGATATTTGTTTATAAATGCTGCTGAACTAATCCAACATAGATATTATGAATTTGGATCTAAGGATATGATACTTTGGAAAGGAGTTTCTTATTTTGTTTTCACAGAGGATGAGACACTGTTCATTTCTTATATTCCGATTTGGTATGATGGACCACGCCCTCCTGAAGGGTTGGTGTGAACGCCTTCAAAAAATTGCTTCGCTCAACTGCCAACTGAGATGAAACTAGCACACAGGTTATACCATGAAAGACCTAATTAACGACGCCCCCATTCAGCAGGAAGCAGTTTGGAGAGAAATAACTGCGCCCATATTCCCAAAAAATGTTTATAAATGTTCTTTTACATTTAAAGGGGGATATGATATAGATATGAATAATTTACATTAGTATAGATTTTGCTTTATTGATAGAGATTTAAGGTCGATTTTGTTATATGTATAAGTGTTTCTGATTTTGATTAAGGTATTGTGATTGTGTAGTTCATTTAAATATGTACTATATAATTAAGAAATATAGGTTGTTAATGGAGAATCATCGATAATAGTAAAGCTTGTAGTCATGTTAGTTAGATTTTCTAGATATATAGAGATATATTTTAGATAGACATTCTTCATGTCTTTCAAAGATTACAGAATAGGACATTTGATGTTTTAATAACTGAGGACTTTTCATGACAATGAGACACTCTGCTCCTGGCAGCACCAATCTACTTCAAGAGGAAGATGGGCATCGAAGAGGCACCTGATGGAGTTTGATAGCCATTTGGGCAAGAAACTGCTCTTGCCTGGACTATTGCATAAACTGGACACAGAGAACCCGCAGAGAGAGGACTACTGAACTTGCATAAGGTGAGATGATCTTTCGGGGTTCCTGATTCATTTTGAAAGAGTCTGCGAGACATTCTGCAGGACACAACAGATAGTGACTGAACTGACTTTGAATTTTCCTGCTTTATGGAAATGTCTGCTGGATACCATGGGCCTGAAGGCTGAAGATGGATGCCCCAACGGTACAAAAGAACTTTGGGTGACTGTCCAGGCAGCGAGATGTCTTTGTCATTTCTAGAGTTTGAAGTTTCTTAGTTCTTGTTTACTTAGGTAATATTATATCTTTCTGGAGTCTTTGATGGAGTTAAGAATAGTTAGTTATAGTTATAGTTTTCCTTAGTTATGATAAAGATTATTGTAACTTTTACTTGATAACTGTTTTGTTATATGTAATTTTGCTATGTTAAAGTTAAAGCCTTTTTTTGTTTAAACCGAAAAAGGGGAAATGATGGAGGAAGGTCATTGGCTAATAAAGGCACTGCCCTGGCCCATTTTATTGGTTAGAGGATAGGTGGGAGGAGTAAACAGAACAGGACGCTGGGAGGAAGAGGAAGTGAGCTCAGTCTCGACAGCTCTCCTCTCTGGAGCAGACGCCTGGGAGAGACGCGATGCCCCGCTCACGGCATGAAGCTCCAACCCAGGATGGACTAGGCTAGAATCTTCCCGGTAAGACCGGTTCTCACAGATTATTAGAGATGGGTTGATCGGGATGTGAGAATTAGCCTGTAAGTGCTAGAGCTAAAGGGCCAAGCAGTGCTTAAAAGAATACAGTGTCTGTGTAATTATTTTGGGGCATAAGCTAACCAAGCAGGCAGCCGGGGTGCTGGGGACGCAGCCCCGCTGCCCTTATTACTTCAGACAGGACCTGTGTAGATTCCACCAGTCACAGACTAAAACATTAGAAGGTAATCGCATCTCAACTAAACCAGTACAGTTTTCTTTTTTGTCATTATTCCCTAAATAATAGAGTATAAAAACCATTTCTGGCTGAAGAGATGTCTTGACAGTTAAGAGCACCTTCTGGTTTTGAAGAGGACTTGGGTCCAGTTCCCAGCACCTACATGGCAGCTCACAACCATTTGTAACTCCATTTCCAGGGGATCAAGTGCTTCTTCAGGCCTTTATAGACACTTCACCCATGTGATGCTTAGATATACATGTAGACAAGTAAAAAAAGCAATATATATATATATATATATATATATATATATATATATATTTACATTTGTGTTGTAGTTGTTATAAGCAATCTAGAAATTATTTAAAATATCAAAAAGTCTGTATACACTACACGTAAGTG